TAGAGAAGAAAATGATACACAAGATTCGATAATTGGAACGAATCCGAAAAAAAGCCGAGAAAATGATGATAACGATAATGAAATCTCTGAAATAACAAAAAATACCAATGAAGGAGATAAAGGAGATAAAGGAGATGAAAGTAGTAATGAACAGGTAAAGTCGCAAGTAGAATCACCAGAAAAGTCAGAACCAAAAGAGTATGACATAAGCGTTATAACAGAAGCATACGTTTGCCAATGGAATGGATGCGGAAAAGTGTTTAGAACAAAACTAGCACTCAAAGCGCACATTCCATCAGAGCATATAAGTGTTGATAGCTTGCGCGTTCGTGTAGACAAACTAGCACAATTTTTATAATATGCCTTGCATGATGTTTGTTTTCACTTTTTGTAAATTTAACTAATATGCGGACAAATTGTTATATAACAATTTAAATATTATAGTAAAAAAAAAAAAAAAAAAAAAAAAAGCAAAAAAAAACGTAAAAATCATTAAATGCAAAAATAAACATTAATTTTAGGTAACATTGTAAAATATGTTATGTTCTATTACATATTTCAGGAACATGCAATAAACTATGATTTTGGCATTACAATTTTATTTTCACTTTATTCGTTAGAACACGTGATTTTTATGGATTTTTGATATGGGTGTCGCTAAAAGAAAATCATAATATGAAAAGAGTATCTGTTGTTCTTTTAATCACATACTATTGGCTCTGGGTCGAATTTTTTTTTTTTTTAGTCCCATTCATTTGGTAATTTACAAATAAAGTAAAATACCATTCGAAAAGTCTCGATCGAATGATACTAAAATATTTAAATTTTAATTACTGGATAACGAGATATTACGATTTAAACGTATTTTAGAAAAATTTGAATATCTCATATTATAGTAATTGAAATCTAGCAATTTTAGTACATTAGATGTGTTTCGATGAGGGGGTTCTAATGGTACTAAATTTGGTCCATTATATCTCAATATATTCGCAAAAAACATTTTGCGTCGCAGTTTAAGTCCAGAACTTCAAATTATTTTGCACTAAACTGCACTGTAAACCGTTTTTTGCGAAGATCTTGAGACCTAATGGACAAGATTTAATGATTTTGGTACCAGTCAAACCGTCTCATCAAAATTGCTAGATTTCAATTACTATATTATGAGATATTCAAACTTTTCTAAATACGTTTAAATCATTATCCAGTGATTAAAAATTTAAAGATTTTAGTATCATTCGATCCGTCTCGATGAGACTGTTCGAACGGTATCAAAATCGTTAAATTTAATTCACTATATCACGAGATATTGTAAATTGTTCGAATTGATTTTGAGCCCTTATTTGTAAATTCCCCCAAAAAAGAAATATTTTTAGATATACGAGTTTTCCCTTAGCGGCATCCATATGATACGTATAACGATAAGTATCTATATTGCCAAAGTTTGACCATATAGTTAGTAAGGTAAATAAAAAAATTAAAAAGAGACTATATTATTAAATTAGAGAAAAGTCTGTTAAATTCTTTCACATTAAAAATTTTATTTGAACCTAATACTGATAAACATGATCTTCTCTAAGAAACAGATTTTGAAAATTTAAATTTCCGGCTATACAACAATGCAAAAACTAACATAAGATAGTAATTTCAATATAATTCAAAGTTTATTAATACTGTTAATGGGTAAAATTTGTTAATGTAGATCACATAACAACAACAAGAGGTTTGAAAATCCGTTTGTACGTACGTATAATAAAAAACATAGCTAAGCTCGGATTTCACTCTAACCTTAACTCGGATTTCATTTTAAACCTAACCCTAACCCGAATTTTACTAGTAGAAACTCGAGTTTCACCCTGTCATAAAAGTTTAATTCACAAGTTTATATCGATAAACATATAAATGGTACGATATGAATAGGGATGGGCCACTGCGTAGCCTGCGCATTATTTCACTACGCAGAATTTTTGAGAGGTTGCGCAGTGTGATTTTTAAAATTCAGGCTAGCTGGCATAATTCTGGCCAACTGGAATAGAATTATATCTCTACTATATGTTATGCGCATTTCATGCGCAGCCTGCGTAGAAAATTTGAAAAATTCATAATTTGCCCATCCCTAGATATGAATGAAATTTTATCTGATCCGGCGAATGATATATCCGGATCAGACCTTTACTAATTACATATCAGAAAAAAGATAATATATAAATCAATGTTAACATATTAAGTAAAGTTGTTTATGAGATCATAATACATATATTATATGTATTATGATCTCTCATAAACAACTTTACTTAATATGTTAACATTGATTTATATAAATTATAAGACTAAATTACAAAAAAATTTTCCGTGTCACCTAAAAATTCATTAGTGTTACTTTTACAAAGCCATAATTCTCAGAATATTGGAAGGAGTTTATGAAAGGTTTGCCAAAGAAGCAATCTAAAAATAGCTGGGAAAAATGGTAAGAAAGCTAGTTCAGATCTCTCAAAGTTCAATGGAAGACGAGTAGTATTGATAGCATTGACCAAAATTCGTCAATCTCTTTTGTTAGTGATTTGAACTGGGTACCAAAATCCTCAATCGGAAACCGACCCGATTACAATCGGTTATATGGATAAAGCGATGGTAAATATTGCCAATACTGTAATATTAGATATAAAGATTATTAAATGTTCTTTATATTATTTGAATACGCTCGCCACCAAATAATCACGAACAAAATAGTTGAGTACTTGTAAACTTGAATTACTGATTTTAGATATGATCTCATCGACCAATAACGATAAGATCCGAAATTTTACAGACGTACAGTACGTACAGTACGTACGTACGTATTTATTTCTCAAATAAACCATACATTTCATCTCAACTATCCTATTCAGTTAACCGGTTAATCGTTCAACAATCGATTATAACCGATCATTCCGGATTTTCTGATTACGCATTTTACTCAATCGGGTAACAGAATTTTTTTCGGTGACAATGCTTATATAGCATTACAAAAGCATTTTTAAAGTTTTAATAAGAACTAATTCACGAAGGTGTTCCGGAATAACTACATATAGGTCTTCGTAATACCAAAAATACCTAAGGATAATCAAATTTTCTTCATATAATTCTTAAGCTGATTCTGTTTTTATTCTGTATGAAAAATTATTGGGATCAACTGCATGAAAGAATTCATGATAATATTCATGCTATTCTCTCTGTAATTCAACCTTTAAACTAATGTTGTTAACTGGAAGCTGGAACACACACTGCGTCCAGATTTTTCCAATGCTCCAGTGGTTCCGGTGAGAGATCTCACTGGAAGAATTTTCCACTGGAATTCATTATCGTTATTGACCAATAAAAATGCCGAATAGTCAATAACATTATCCAATAAAATGCATATATTTGCACGTGATTTTTATATAATTCAAAAATACCTAGGTTCTGAAAATGCTAGGCAAAGTACTATTAATTTACCATAGTGCCAGTGTCTGTGCCAGGCACTATATTTAATAGTACCATGCCCAGCACTTTATTAATCGGTGGAATTTAAAATTAGCAAATAATGAACTAAATACTTAGGCCATTCAATATTATCCCCCAAAAAACGAACACATATATACTGAGCTAATCAAATTTTAGAATCTATATGAGCCTAAATTTTAGTAGCATTAAGACAAAATTTAAATTTTAGTACTTCCGAAAAGTTCTGAAATAGACTATGAACGAAGCAAAGATAGTCCGAAAGCTAAAAGTAAATTTACAATCATGTTCATTTATTCTGTTCATTTAAATTATCCTCCTCCTCGTCTCAGAAGTTAAAATATTGACGTTAATCAACTAATTAACTTTGAACGGCCTTATATCTAAATGTATAACTCTCTTCAAATTATTATCCGATGGAATTAAAATCAACAAATTATGAACATACTAGTGACTTTTTGAATCTGAATTGATGATATCAATGTCACTGGACCTTCCATCCAGTGGCAAAAAAACTTGACTAGAAGGGTCCAATGATAACTAATACTGTAATCACTGGAATTGTTATGTCTTCCAATTCTATCCAGTTCCAATCAGCCTTCTAATTCCAGTGATTCCCACTGGACCAGTCTAGTGACAACACTGCGTTAAACCATATCTATAATAAGAGATATCGAGTCGTAACCCTCGAGGATGTTCCAATTTTTTAAGAATTTGCTCAAAGTCATTTCATTATTCACATAAACAGGATTGTTATTGAACTGGATTGGAATATTGGACTAGACCAGTCCATTAAACTAAATTGGACTGGACTATTATTGGACCAAAAATAATCATGTGATATACAGTATATGTAAGTACGTGTACGACTGCTAAATGGAAGTTAGCAGAATTGTTTGTAGAAGACTTAGAAACACCGTTTTATTTTTATCAATCTGAAAATGAGTAATAAGACTATGTCTTTTGTTCATTTTCTATTATTTACCATGCTGGCTAGTAATTGTTCATTTAGTATTCAAATAATATTGTTCTGAAATATAGCGTAGATTAAATAAAAAACTTGCAGTATAATAAAATTTTAGTATATATCTTATATATTGTATATAGTTTAGAGAATTCTAAACTCGGTATAATAAAGCTTTATTAAATTTGGTCAAATATTTTCAGTACATAAATATTTACTATTCTAATATTTAATTTCGTATACATATTTATTATCAGTTATAGAATATATAATACGTATAATAAAATTATTTTATATTGGACTGGACCCAATTGAACTAAATTGGACTAATAAATTTGGTCCAATATATAGTATTAGCATTGGACTTGGATTGGACTAGTCCAATAACAACCCTGTCACATAAACTTAGACTTAGCACATGACTAACACCGCCAGATGATGTTATGTCCATTATTACCGTGTGAAGTTTAAGCAAACTCAAACTTAAGTCTAGAGTTTAAGAATTTATTAAGTTGCCACTGAAGTGCTTTTGGCCAAACTAATTAGATCCCTAAATTACATAATTTCTACGTATTTTATAACTACACAATATGAATTTTAACTCGAATGACTTAAGTAAAACTCATAAATTTAACTACTGTACAGTGCTGCATACAGTACTCCCCTGGAAAAGTACCCCCTTTGAATAGTATCGAGGTACTAATCAATCTTCAAAAAACTAATTTTTACTATATTTATACGTTATGTGATTAACTCACATGGTAAAAACTTTCATAGTACCCCCCCTCATATAGTACCTATCTCTTCACACAGTACCCCCGGGGTACTTACTGTATGCCGGTAGATCACACAATTCAATACTCTTCTGAGTTTAATTTGTGAATCCGAGTTGACACGAACAATTAAAGGATGATTTA